CTTTTACAAAAAGAATAAAATACCAACAATCAATTCTAATGTATAAAATTGTAAATGGACTAACACCTGATTACTTAACAATGCTAAATATTAATGATGTGCAACACCACAACTTACGATCTGTCTCTAATAATGATCTATTTGTTCCAAGACCAAATACAAATTTAAAATCTTTTCATTATTCTGCAACAAAGGTATGGAATAATTTACCACTCAAAATAAAAAATTGTCGAAATGTGGAATTATTTAAGAAACATTGTTATAATCATTTTCTTGAAAATTTTATGCAAGTCGAATAATTTGTTTTCTTTCCTTTATTGTAAGAATAAGAAAATTTAATCAAAACTTTACTAACTATTGCCATTTATTGCCATTGGTATGTTTGAATGATTGAATTGTGTATATACTAATAATATATATTGTATTTTAATGTATGAATGTATGAATGTTAACTGTATACATGTATTTTGTTTGAGGGCCTCAATGAAAATTAGACTACTTCTAATTGAGTTACCCTCTTTAAATAAAGAATTTATTATTATTATTATTATTATTATTAGAACTCGTTGAACTGCATCTATAAATCGGGAAAAAAAATTTTGTAGCATGTAAACTTCAAGCGATGTCATAGATTTAAAAGCTGTAAAATATCTCTATAAGTGTTAAGAATGTACATAAAAAGCGGCGAAAAATATGAATTTAAAAAAAAATTATGCGTTTCTCAAAAATCCGTCAATAGAATTATTTATTTTAAAATAATGTGTTATTGCTTTTTACATTTCTGTCTTAATGACAAAAAAAGATTAGGAAATCACGGGATTCCTTAGTTTAGTAGAAATAAATAAGTCACCGTCTATGAAAAAAGACTAAAACGACAAAGAACTCGTAACATCGTGACGGTTTCGCGCTGCCAAATTGTATTTTTTATGTGCTTTTCTTACATCGTTCATACATTTAAAAATGTTAGAGACAGCTAAAATGAATCTAGTGACCCCAAATATTTTCACAATGTAAAAACGGAAAATTTTTAAAGCAATAAATGTCATTTTACATATACGATATAACGAGTTCTAAATGCATACACAATTTCATAAATATCCGCAATATCGCCCACTTAAGCATTCTTTGCCTTACATATATTTTTCACGGTCCACTAAGAGCATGAACATTTAAAATGACATCAATAATTGACTAGTAAGATTAAAACGTTTAAATAATATAGAATGAGAACGAGTTTTAAAGTAGATATTTAAAATAGTTCATGATATCATAACACACTATCAAATCGTTGGGACTGGTATTAGTTTCAATAAATATATATATAAAACAAACTTGACTTATCACAAAAATATATATATTGTCATATACAAATTAGTTTTAAAAGAGGGGCGAAAGATACCAGAGGGACAGTCAAACTCATAGATCGAAAATAAACTGACAACGCCATGGCTAAAAAATAAAAAGACAAACAGACAAATAATAGTACACAAGACACAACATAGAAAACTAAAGACTAAGCAACACGAACCCCACCAAAAACTGGGGGTGATCTCAGGTGCTCCGGAAGGGTAAGCTGATCCTGCTCCACATGTGGCACCCGTCGTGTTGCTCATGTTATTACAAATCCGGTAAATAGTCTAAATCGGTAGGTCACATTCGTTGTGAAAAAGGAAGTGGATTATAATTACGACATAAATAACATATCCGATATCATCTGTGAAACGGTCAACCAACTCGTGATGGTGTCCGTAAAATTTACGATGGGATGATTTCAACTTCACCATTTGGAACTCTTGGTTTAACAGCTTCCTTGTGAGCAGCAACCCTCTATCAAGGAAATCATGATAGGAAATACAAGCCCTGGAATATCGTATCAGTTGGGAGATATATACTCCGTATGCAGGCGCTGCTGGAATGTTGCTACATAGAAATGGAAAGTTCACAAATGGGAAGCCGAAATCATCTCTTTTGTCGTAAAGTTTTGTTTGCAACCTACCCTCATTGTCAATTTCTAGATGTAAGTCAAGATACTTAAATGTATCTGTTGTATCCTTTATCTCTAGTTCGATGGGATAAGATACATATATTAATAATCCTTGACTTTCAAAGTTTTGGACCATACTAGCGTTCCTGATGAAAGCCGGTAAATTCGGCCCCATTAAAATTATAAAGTGTTACTTTCATTTTTTAATTCCATTCTATATCTATAATACTAAAGGAAGAGACCAATTTCATAGAGCCGCTACTCCTCTGAAACCATAAAAAGTCGGAAATATTTGTGATATGACGTATAAATGTAGTGTTTTGTACTTCCTAAATTTGTCATTGAAACAATCTTTTTTCCACAGAAAATGCAAATTTTTGAAAAAATATCAAAATTCGGAGACCGTTATCGATCCGTGTCTTATACGCTTCTGCGCATGCTAAGTCGACGTACTGCCTGCAAAATCTAAGTGAAAGTAAGAAGAAAGGATAGAAAATAGGACAGTTAGGCCTATAAGGATCCTGTATGGTATTGTAACTGCATTATTTTGCTAAATTAAACGACATCCACTATTTTTACTCAGGTGCAGAACTGTCCAAAAATTAAATGGGCGTTAAACGTGTCGACGTGATCCTCCTCCCTTTTTATGTGTAAACACAGGCACCCGACGTCCGGACCCTTTATGTGTAAACACAGGCACCCTTGACACTCTTTGTTTCAAAACTTGACCTATTGTACCGCGATTTCGCGGGCATCCTCTAGTAATATATATTTTCACTCCAAGAAATGAAGAAGATTACCATAATTGCAATTATTCCCCTGTCAACAGCAAGTACGATATTTATCTTAAGTGCATATTACACAGGGGGATACAACTTCAGAGGCAGGTAAGTTGGCTCTCCGAACTTTCCTTAAGTCCTGCTTTTAACGAAAACTAAGTTTATGAGCTTTTAAGTTGAAGACGACGATGCCTTAAGTTAATATAACATTTATTATTTGAAGAAAAAATTATCTTAATATGTATTGTATTTTTTTTTCTGTCGGACAAATTCTTGAATAATATTCAAAACAAGTATATACAGCCAAAAATATATAATATGTGTGTATCAAGAATATTATGAGGGTCTGGATAGGTGGTCCTACATTTCTGTATTCTTTAATATTTTATGTCATTTTTCTCTATTCTTTATATTTTATCACCCCATTATCATCTATTGTTTATTTTTTTATCCTATTGTTCTCAATTCTTTATGTTTTACCCTATTTTTCTCAATTCTTTATTATTTTGGTTGATTTTTCTGTACGTTTAGCCCATTATTCTCTTTTCAGTAAACCCCATCCAGACCCTCAGTTATATAGATACAATGGATAAGCGTGGATTCTTGAAAAAGAAACCATGAGCCCGGATGGCGAATGGTTTGTTTTTCATGAATCTACGCTTATCCATTGTATCTACAACTATTGTGTTAATTTCTTTTCAACATTAAAGCCTTTTCTTAATTAGAAGGTATTGTAAGTGAGTTTAAATAACCATGTTATCGTGTCCAATGATGCATTGATAAATCTCAGATCACAATTAATTGGTTAACAAAATACAAATATAACACTTCTACCTTTAAAGATCTTTATTTTATCAGGCATCTGAATATTATCTGTTTTTACAAAATAAGACATATTCGAACTTATTTCTAATAAAATTTAAAATTGAGAATGGAAATGGGGAATGTGTCAAAGAGACAACAACCCGACCAAAGAGCATATATAAAGTATATATAATAAGTATGTTACCGAAATTTCTAGCACTCTAGGCACATCACGATTTTCTGGCATAGGAATTTGCGAACAAACATTTGTAAATTATGTAGTAAAACAGATGAAATCATACTATATTTATACAACAAATATTGACAAATAGAATGTAATCATTTTTGTTTCAAACATGTGAAATAGCCAATAATAATCCAAAAAATAAACGGTAAAACTCGCTATTATCACAAAAATATCCACTATAATATGCAAAATTAGAAAAAAAACTGAATTGGGACAACAGAGATAATACAGGAATTGGAACCTAAACCGAGATATCCCTATCTTTTAACTCGTTGATTTTAAGCATGCTAACCTCGCGGCTACCAACTTATACTATACGACTGCCCATTGTGTATATATAAAGGTACAACCCCTGTGTGTCCGATGTTCATTTATATATATAAAATAGACATCTAAGTTGTAACCCATTGGTAGCCGAGAGGTTTCGTCGATGTGTTGATGTCAGTCATTCATAACAGATTTCAAGGAAGGGTTCGATTCCCAGTGAAGGCATATACAAATTACAAAAATTAAAGGTAAGTTTTTAAATTAATTCCATTAGTGAACAGAAATCAGTAAATTAGCCAATTCAAACTTAATGAAATTAGACACACAAAGGAAACAATTGAATATAATTTAGTGAGTCCATTTCAGCGGCAGATTTAGGAAGCGTTTATTCTAGAGAAAGAATCCACGGTAAATTAATAGGTTGACGTCACCACAATGGTTTAATATAATGGAAGGTGTTTATAGATGAAGTTACAAATTATTTTAAGGAAATCAACCTATTCAACAATAAAAAAAACCAAATGACTTTGTTTTGACTACCGAAAGTGTTGAAATTATTATTAACTTTTGCAATGATGGAAATCATTAAAAATTTCTTTCATCATTAAAATTTCTGGAGATCAAAAAGAAAATGGGTCTCATTTTCCATTATATAGAACAGTGTCGGGTGTCACTTATTCTGGGAATACCGTAATACTTACTTATGAAGGTCTATTTGTGACCTATGTGAATACATAGATAATTTTTCCTGATATAAACTTTATTGATTAATTAGATATATTAGTTTGCGAATTTTAAATTTGTTTTATAAAAAACATATAATAGTTTAATTTATCTAATCTATTTATCCCGTACAGAGGTTATTGGACATCAAGTATATGTGTATGTATTATATGTATTTTACAAGTATTATAATTACCTTGTTAACAACTTGATCCGTTTTGTTCCGCATTGGTTGTCTTTCCACTCGAGTAGTGATACTAATATATATGTGTTTAAATTTTGTCTTCTTGCAAACAATTTAGGCCAGCTGAAGGACGCCTCCGGGTGCGGGAATTTCTCGCTGCATTGAAGACCTGTTGGTGACCTTCTGCTGTTGTCTGTTCTATGGTCGGGTTGTTTTCTCTTTGACACATTCCCCATTTCCATTCTCAATTTTATTATTTAATATTTTATTTTATAGGTTTCATAACGAGTGAGAAAATATCGCTTGATATTTAATTTCAATTAATAAACGAGCCTTCGGAGAGTCTATTATTACTATTTAAATTAAATGACGAGATTTGATATCAAGCTATATACAATTCTCATCTTATAGTCAACACTCTTATTGTGTTAATTTTGAATAATCCGTGAATCGTCGATCTAGTCTTTTCCATACTAGTATACCAATATGACATCATATGTCTTGTTCCGGCGTCTAATTTTAACATCAGACATTTCAAAACTTTTTGTCACTTCAGAATAGAAGTTTATTTATTGGGATGCATGGCGTGCGCTCCATTCTTAAAAGTCAAAATCACCAAAAAGAATCAATATCTCACTTGGCAAAACACATATGTCTGTCGAACGTAAACTTTTCTATAAAAAAATCTCTTCTCTAAACCGCTGAATAGATTAGAGCTTCACTTAAAGGGTGTCTGCTCAGAAGTTTGTGATTTTAGTCTATACCATCGACCAACATAGCCACTGTGTTAAAAAAAGAACATAGAGGTCAAACTGAGGTCATCTGTTTTTGCTAATACAGTGTGTATCTAAAAATAAATTGTCAAAACGACCGAGTTGTACATTAATCTAAACAGTAAAAATCCATTTATCCGTTTGGAGTTCTTGCTCAAGAAATGTCTTGCATTTTTTGTCTACTGTCATAAAGTTATATGATTAAAAAAATAATTATATCAAAAGTGTTATTGTAAAATAATCAACTTTAGAATGAAAGAAAATTCCGACGATCATATTTGCCCCGGAATGGTAAGATTTTACCTATTCTCAGTGTTTGGCTGTTATCATAAAATCACAGGCACTTGTCCCTGAAAAAAAAAAATCCTATCTATCAAGGTATATAGGATTTTTTTTTCAGAGACAAATGCCTGTGCCTAAAATCTATAAAAGCTATATTAAAAGTAGCAATTCCAATGACAATAATATGTAGGAATGTGACTATGCTATCAGTGCCACAGACATAAAAGGGTGCTTTAATATAACTTGAATGCTGATGATATCAGGTGACAATGCCTTTAGGTTATGGAACATTTTTTATTTGAAGAAAAAGCATTTCTTGTATACTATATTCCAATTTTCCTTCCTGGACTAATACGTGAATACCGTTAAAACAACAAGTACATGTCTGCACAGCCTAGGCATACATTATATGCATATATAATAATATAAGGGAAGATGTTTGAAGTTAAAGCTAAATATTTTTCAAAGACATCAACAGTTCCAACCCATAAAAGCCTAATAACATTGCATTAACTGTCAAAGGAGATGACATAATTCTTAAATTTTTTAACTGGACCAGAACTTTGATTTCATCATCAATTAACATGATAAGCATTACGAGATCTATAAGATCTACAAGAAATTTCTGACAATCTGACAACCTATTTTAGATTTTTGTCCCAGAAATGTCTATTTTTTGAAAATTATTAATAGCCCCCTTTTGTCGACTCTCCTTAACAAATTCTGCATTTATTCCCTCGTCCATCAGAGAATGGAACAAACTTGATAATTCTATCCGTACACTTGATACCCTATCTAAGTTCAAACGCTCTTTGTTGAATAATACATACGAAGCAAAGACTGCAGTGTCAATTCAATTTGTATACCTTGAATCTTTTGATTTTTAAAAAATTTTGTTAGGATTGAGGATGTTCGCTCCTCCGTATCAATAACAAGCTTTTTATAAAAGACTGTTATAAATTGATAGCTAAAACTAGAAAAAGATGACAGGTCTGTGTCCTTGTTTTTGTGATATAAGCAAATGAAAATTTGGTGGAAAATGATTCTCTCTAGATTTGCATACATTTAACATTAGCGACCTCTTTGCATTAAAATCATTAAAAAAAATAAAAATAACAAGGATTTTGTAATATTTTCAGATATTGCTTTTTAAACTATATGTAATAAAATTATGAAAAGAAAAATAGTATTTATATTGCCACTACAATCCTTAACCAAGGATGTGTATAGTCACAATCCTTGCCTTAACTAAGAGTTCAAGAATAGAGATCGTCATCACTATCAAAACCTTCCGAATTAGTCCTACAATTTTCTTCTGTAGTATACGTTACCCAGGAAAACGTTAGAGCATTGATATAATCTGTAAAACTAGATCTATCATAAATGGATATACAAGAATGTAAGTAACCAGTTGTATAGCAGGACTCGGATCTCCATGTTATATGCATGTACATATTGTCATAATCACCCAATGGTCCTAACTCTCTTCCAAAGTTGGTTTTAAATTTCAAGGCAAAAATAAACGTTTCATGATATTTAACAAACGCTTGTGTGATTACTTCATCGTCTTCAAGATCAAACTCATGTTCGACATCAGATTTGTAACGTTCTAGTTCATGGAAAACCTGAGCGCCGCTTTTGTATACTATCGATATTCTAACTAATGTTGAAAGATGATTAAATCCACGCCCTATAAAGTGGAGCTTTACTTTCTTCGGTCTGTCATTGATATCCGTACTATCAAAACCACGTGTAGATTTTCCCTCTCTGTAAACACCGGTGGCACAATTGCAAAATGATGTCCCTTTTATGAATATCTTAAAATTGTTAGAATATCTTCTATATTTTAAGTGAGATTTATTAACATTTGACCCAGAATTTTGCTGAGTCAGGAGTTAACTGCTGATATGTGGAAACTTAAGAACGGTATTTCTTTCAACTAACTCCTTCAAGTCATCAAGATTGAGTATGTCATGGCGGCGAATTGTTTTTAATAAAGTGTTTACATCTGAGTCATCAAATTGTTCACGCATTTCTAATGTATTTTAATTATAATACTTCCAAACAAGCTGGAAAGTACTGCTTTCTGGGTCATGTAATGGAATGCAGTATTTCATTGCAGTGAAATTATAATTATTAACGACTGATGTAAATTCATTTAAGGACAGTTCTAAAAAGTATTTCATGTCCGACACTTCATCATAATTTCTTGAAGCAAACATGCATACTCCATCAAGCAGTACACTTAGATAAAACCGATTTGAAAGTTTTATCAAAGTTATTACATTTTCTATGGTTACTCTTTTGACCATATATCTCTCGCATTCTAATGAAATCAAATCAATTTGTAAAATATTAGCCGCAGTAAGAAGATCCTGTATATTACTATCATCAATTGAACATTTGCCTGTGTATGCAAAATTAGCAATTTGCTGCATGATTTGTGGCATGATAATTTCACAATCTATTAAATGTTCCTCACTCTCATCTTGTTCGTCTTCTCATTTATAAACAAACATATTCTTGAAATAAACAGATAAGTTAGATAGAACAACCTTGAGTCCTTTGATAATTGTTGTGCCACATCTCAGCGTATTGAGTATTTTCATATTTGAATACAAATTTCAAATGAACCAATTTTACAAAAAAGATGCAAAAGGGATTTTGAAAATCAAAAGTCGATGAAAAACTGACAACGCCATGGCTAAAAAACCCCACGAAAAATGACTTTTTCTTCGTTGTATGGATCTGATGAGTTAAGGCTTTTTCAACAGATTTTTATCATTTGTTCTTATGATGTGTTGTTACACCACTGTACACGCTCACTAACATGTTTAACCCCGCCACATTCTGTATATACCTGTCTCAAGTCAGGAGCCTGTCGTTGGTTCCTGTCTGTCATATTTGTGTTCCGTTAATTGTTTTAATAAAGTTAGTTTTCCCAATTGAATTTTTCATATTTTTCATGTCAGGTTCTTTTATAGCCGACTATACAGTATGGGCTTTTCTCATTGTTGAAGTCCATACGGTTGCTTTTAATTGCTTACATCCACTTTATTTAAACTTTGGTATATAGTTGTCTCCTTGGCAATCATACCTCATCTCTTAATTTTAAAAAAGACAGTATACAAAACACAACATAGAAAACTAAAGACAGAGTAACACGAACCCACCAAAAACTGGGGGTGATATCATGTGCTCCGGAAGGGAAAGCCTGCTGCTCTAAATGTGGCACCCGCCGTTGCTTTGACAATTGAAACATATATGTCGTCATCTGTGAAACAGATATTCCATAACGGTCAACCAACGTGTGATGGCGTTTCGAAAAAATCCCTTCAACTTCATCATTTGGAACCGTTGGTTTAATAGCATCCACGTAAGCAGTAACCCTCTGTCGATTCAAGCTCTGGAATATCGTATAGTAAACTGGGAGATATATAATTCATATGTAGGCGCTTCTGGAATGTTGCTACATAGAAATGGAAAGTTCACAATTGGGAAAATGAAATCATCACTTGTGTCGTCAAGTATGTTTTCAAGCGAACCTCATTGTCAATTTCTAGATGTAAGTCAAAATAAGAGTATTAGGATAAGAACTTCTTTTCCTACTAGTGGACAGCAGTGTAACTAGTCGTGTTGCTCAAATCATGTGAAAATTCGGTGATGATACAATCGAGGAAAAGATAACGGGATTGCGAACAAATGTTTTGTGATCGTGACATAAGTATTCCATACTGATCAACTAAATCATGATGGCGTCCGTATAAAAATCAATCGTATTACTTGAGCTTTACCGTTCAGAACTGCTGCTCAATAGCTTTCTCGTAAGCAGAAAATCTCTATAAAGAAATCAGGATAGGAAACGCAAGTCGTTAGTTTTGATTTGTTTTAGATTTGTTATTTCGGGGTCTTGTAGAGCTTGCTATGATTTATGAGGTTTCAAGGCTGATTGTCGAAGGCCGAACGGTGACCTATAGTTGTTAGCTTCTATATACGTCATTTGGTCTCTGGTGTTGAGTTTTCTTAATGACAATCATACCACATCTTATTTTTACATCGTAAAGCTTTTCCTTTCCTCGTTGTTCTTGGTCAAGGCGAGACAGTTCTCAAATCCATTTTTTTTTAATATAAAAGAGTAAGGAATTTTAGAAATATTAAATTATTAGCTCACCTGGCCCGAAGGGCCAAGTGAGCTTTTCTCATCACTTGGCGTCCGTCGTCCGTCGTCGTCCGTCGTCGTCGTCGTTAACTTTTTTACATTTTGAACTTCTTCTAGAGAACCACTGAATGGAATGAAACCAAACATGGTATGAATGTTTCTTATGAGGTGCTGACCGAGTGTTGTTACTTTGAAGCCGATCCATAATTCAAGATGGCCGCCAGCGGGGGACTTAGTTTAACATAGGACCCTATGGGAAATACATACAAATGTCTTCTTTTAGAGAACCACTGAATGGAATGAAACCAAACATGGCATGAATGTTCCTTATGAGGTGCTGACCAAGTGTTGTTACTATGAAGCCGATCCATAATCCAAGATGGCCGCCAGCGGGGTACTTAGTTTAACATAGGACCCTATGGGAAATACATACAAATGTCTTCTTTTAGAGAACCACTGAATGGAATGAAACCAAACATGACATGAATATTCCTTATGAGGTGCTGACCAAGTCTTGTTACTTTGAAGCTGATCCATCATCCAAGATGACCGCCAGAGGGGGGCTTAGTATAACATAGGAGCCTGTGGGAAATACATACAAATGTCTTCTTTTAGAGAACCACTGAATGGAATGAAACCAAACATGGCATGAATGTTCCTTATGAGGTGCTGACCAAGTGTTGTTACTATGAAGACGATCCATAATCTAAGATGGCCGCCAGCGGAGGACTTAGTTTAACATAGGACCCTATGAGAAATACATACAAATGTTTTCTTTTAGAGAACCATTGAATGGAATGAAACCAAACATGGCATGCATGTTCCTTTTGAGGTGCTGATTAAGCGTTGTTACTTTGAAGCTGATCCTTCATCCACAATGGCCGCCAGATGGGGACAATGTTTAACAAAGGACCCTATGGACAATACATACAAATGTCTTCTTTTAGAGAACCACATACTGAATGGATTGAAACCAAACATGGCATGAATGTTCCTTATGAGGTGCTGACTAAGTTTTGTTACTTTAAAGCTGATCCTTCATCAATGTAGGCCGCCAATGTGGGGACTTCCTTTTTACATGAGACCCTATGGGAAATACATACAAATGCTTCTTCTAGAAGTGCACTGAATGGAATGAATCCAAAACATGGCATAAATGTTTCTTATGAGGTGCTGATGAAGTGTTGCTACTTTGTTGCCGATTTACTGTTCAAGATGGCCACCAGGATTTTTTTATTAAATTAAAGGACCAATATTAAACCAAATTTGACCTCACTCATTATTAGGGTATCTGTTATGATATTAATCTATTTTTACATGATTTCCAAAACCAAAGTAGAATCAGGTGAGCGACACAGGCTCTTGAGAGCCTCTAGTTGATCATCGGTAGGATTTTACGTCACGGATATATCCATATTATATTTGTTTTTCTTCACCAGTATATATATTTATGCAGTATATTCTTTAATACATGTACATATGTTTAATGTTATAATCTACTTAATCATTGGAATCATGTTTAGTGTTGTATGTTTTGTCTTGTAGCAATAGATTAAATAATTAATCTGTATTTTTTTTCTGCCCTTATTAATACGGGCACTGTGATTAATTGTATTTTGTTTGCGGTATACCATCTTTGCCGCAAGTTTATTGTTTTCTGTTTGGTATTAATTTATAAATAAGATTCATTTATTACACCTGGTGATCCGTTTATTTGGCAATCGCCAATGGCAGTTGGTAGGGTTTAAGAACATTTGTTGTTCGACCTGTTAGTCAAATGAGTTTTGTTAAAATATACTTTTTCACTTTTTTGGTCTTTTGAAAAATATTATTTGTGCTGTATTTAGACCCCTCTAACAAGAAATTTGTTTTGCATGCACTTGTATAAAAATTGCGGTTTTTATCCAACGCAATCATAGGTTTGAACGTTGTTTTCAATTTAGACTTGTATATACTATATATATAATATATATAAATTCGTCTGATTAACAGCCCAACAATGTTAGATCTGTAAATTTGCTTCCGCAAATTTTTGTTCTTCCCTGACCGGGATTCGAACTCGTGCTACTTAGCTATCGTGGCACCAAATCGCCTTGCACAATGCCCGTCGCGCTAGACCACTCGACCACCTAGGCTCGACAAAAATCCAGCTTTCGGTGGCCGGGTGTTACCTTTCCTCGTCAGTTTTTATCTAGCGTCGTATATAAACAGTATATGATATATAAGGCATGAAGATGGAATATTACAGATCAGCTGAATTATCTATCGTAGAGGATCTTACAAATTAATGTAGGATGCAGTCACAGGGATAATTATATTATAAGTACGTCTGAACCAGTGACAACTCTACGACAGATTTTATCCATCACTGGTGATACAAGGCTGAAAACACATTCTGTATTTATAATTTCGTTGGAATAACAGCCAAACAATGTTAGATCTGTAAATTAGCGGGAGCAAATTTTTGTTCTTCCCTGGCCGGGATTCAAACTCATGCTTCTGAGATATCGTGGCACCAAATCGCCTTGCACTATGCCCGTCGCGCTAGACCACTCGACCACCTAGGCTCCACAAAAATCAAACTTTCGGTGGCCGGGTGTTGACAATTTACAATATCATAAACAAGTCTAAATTGAAAACAATGTTCAAACCTATGATTGCGTTGGATATATATATATATTCCGCAAGTTTATTGTTTTCTGTTTGGTATTTAATTAATAATATATAAAGATCCATTTTGTTACATCTTGTGATCCGTTTACTTGGCAATCGCCAATGGCAGTCAGCAGGGTTTAAGAGGGTTTTATTTGCATGCACACGTTTAAAAATTTCGGTTTTTATCCAACGCAATCAATGATTTGAACGTTGTTTTCAATTTAGACTATTTGTATATATATATATAATATATCACAAAGTAAATTGAGTAGGTTGAAGTTATACCGAAGAAAATCGACCCTGTTAGTGTAGCCGAATTTTTCAAAAATATACTTCCAAAGTAACCGCTCGTTTGAGCATTAGGTAAGATTGGTTAGATCCAAACAAGCTACCCTTTTTAAATACATGTATAAGATGAAATATTTTTAGTATTATATAATTATATACTCTAAATTCAAATTGTTACCCAAGCATCTTGAATAGCTGCCTCACTAGATTGAAATTTACAACCCCATGATTTTTTTATTAAAGAATCCTTATCATATACTGATATTTCATAACGCAAACATAGGAATAAATAGTAAAAAAAATTTGTGTGGCTCTATTACGCTTCCGTAACAAGCTTTTCGTCAAAAATTTAAATTTTAAAAGTGTAATCGCAAAAAAATCAGCATAACAAGATTTATATACAAGTCACGTACCCCAAAATTTTCAGGAAAATTCTACTACATTGTCCTTGAGTGTAAGGTTTTTAAGTTTTAGCTGCTATCTTGAAAACTACAGTCAGAGTGTTAATTATGAGTTATTAAAAGGGTGTTGAAAGTATACGCCAGATTAAAAGAAAGGTCCAGTATCATCTCTAGGAATTAAAGACGTCAGATTTGTTCTGCCTTTTTTTTTTAAAGAACTTTCATAGACTGATGCAACAATGTAATCCAAAAAATTAACAAACTTGTGTTATTGAAGGTATTCATAGGCAGGTGTACACTTTTGAATCGATACCGGTTACACTTTTTATAATGGGCCCTTAGGTTTATCTTCCTCTCTACGCTAAAAAAACGGCACCTCCCATAGTTTGATAAATAAATCAAATTTCTGTGTTCACACATCAATAGCTACAATATGTGACTTAAATAACTATAGCAGCACCGTAAAAGTAAATAACTTTTGTCGGAAAGTAAGCATGTGAAAAAAAATACCAAAGGGACAATAAAAATCAAACATCGAAGAAACAGGCAATACCATGGTAAAAAAAAACCGGCGAAAGGACGAACAATAATCTACAAAACACTACAGAGCAACACGAACCACATCAAAAACAGGGGATAATCTCATGTGCTCCGGTAGGACAAGCAGATCCTGTTTCACTAAAGGCAGTCGTCATGTTGCATGTACAAATTCGGTGATGACGCATTCTATGGGGTCACATTCGAGGAAAAGAGGTCGGAATTGTGGCTATGGTAATTGGGGTCAATTATTTTTTTATACGTGGTTTACGAGATTTCAAAACGACAGTATAACATTACATAGATTTTTAAACCGCAATGAAAAAAAAACCAAGAATTCAATCCTTTGATAAAGTTCAACCTAAATCTGGTATATTTTCAAAGAAAATATTTTGTCTTTCATCTTTCAACCGATTTCATTCAAATGTTGACAAAAAATTGGTTGGAGCTTTTACTTTGAAGTTTTCGATGATTTCATAGAAATTGTACATTTGTGTTTTCAAAAATAACAAACTGGAATTTACTTTCTACATTTGGAATGCATTATACTTAATTATGAACCTAACACATAAATGTAAATTAACAAGAATTGTATTCCAGGTCACTTGAGAAAACACGTTATTTATGGTATTAAATAAACTATATAGTTGTAACTATCTAGATTTCCTTGTTTATTTCACTGAGTGGTTACTTGTAAACTATGTTTTATGTAACTTTCATGGAATACATATGTTTTCATTTGTTTTCCTTTATCAACAAATACATGTGTAAACATGAGTGTTAGTCGACATTTACAATAGTATAATACTTCGAACCAGGGTCAGCTACCAAATCACCATAGACAGAATTGTACATATGGCATGTAACGTAATCCACGGTTCGTTCGTCCATTGAAAACGACTGGCAACCTTCTATGCGCATGCACAGTCGCGAGCACACGCTGGTGTCTGTTGCGTTGACAATTCCAAAAGAGAATGGTGAAGGTTTCATGTCATGTGCTTTCACCATGAAATAACCAGATGTTCTGAGGCTAGTTTTCCAATTGAATTGATGTCGAAATTCGTTCCATTCCTTTTCTATGGCCAAGATATTCCTTGTAACAAGATTTGTAATAGGAGGAGGGGCGAGAGTTGAAGGTGGTGTGCTACTCACACATTTCAAATTCTCGTTTGGAATAAGATAAAACTCTGAAAAGAAAACAATGTTTTAAAACAACATAATTTTGTTAATACTTGAGCTTTAATTATTTGATATAAGGAACAAAGTTGTAGTTGTATTACCTGTTGAAACTGTACATTAATACTAAATCGTTATAAGTAAATTATAGTAACTATATGCACCGTCTCTTCAAACAATCACGAGCTACTGTTTATGAAAGAGAGTCGAAACATACCAAGAGGACATTTAAACTCATAAACAAAAACTGTTTAAAAAGCTTATACTTTGTGTTGTATTTCACTTTGCTGATATGTTGAGTGGAAAGACAGACTGCATAGATTGTGTGGCGACGCGTATGAAACATAACGGGAACAAAAGAAACACAAAAGAAACCAAACAAGACCAATTAAAAACTTTTAAGACAATAATCTTCTATAAAAATCACTTATACTGATACATGTGGGGTTTACATTCTTAACTATTGTTTGTGTTTTTCGAAGAAAAGTGACATAGCTTGAACATGGTACACACAAAGGATAAAAGGTGGACTGTGTCGAACGATCGCAAGTTGAGTAGGATTCCCTCCTCTCAATCTGATTAAAATTCAAATCTATCGGAACTGACGTGCTCGTCGAGCATAACGAAATCAAAGATCTATATTTGAATTAGATTGTCCTCTTCTTAGAAGCAGTATCAATGAGGACGAAATTTCTGCAGTATACGAAATATCGAATACGTTTATTTGTATATCTGTTTTTGTTTATTAAAATCGGTGACTGCAAGACAATCTAATTAAAATACAGTTCTCTGATTTCGTTATACTCATATGAGTTTATGTACGAGCAAGCGAGTTAATAATGGTCTGAATTTTAATCAGATTGACTACAAGATAATTTGATTTTTATTCTCACGTATTTTCTTACCTGGTGGTTGATATTTCCAATTCTTCTGTAGGCAGTTTTTCCACATTTCGTTTATTTTATCTTTCGGAACTAGCCTAGTGTATATTTGAAAGCACGTTATGTACCCGGTAAATTGCTGGTCGTCTTCTGAAGCCCCCTTAGCAACAGCATTCCCTAGGTATACTGTTCCTCCTGTTGGCATGGGAATGTTTTTCTGAAAGTCATCATTTGCATTTACCTTTTCTTCACCATTTACGTAAATCTTTATTCGTCCTGATTCAAACTGACGCTCTATGTACAAATGGTTCCATTCATTTTCTTTAAGTAGATCTTCCTCGGCAACCAATCCAGTGGGATTTGCATATTCATCACGGAATGAAACTACGGTGTGTGTCATAATAAAGTTTATTCTTATTTTTTCCTCTTGTCCCAATACATAATGTAATAGTGTCCCTTTTGGTGTTCCAATAGAATAAACAAACATGGAGATAGAAAGGTTCTTAAATTCCGAGTCATCTCGAAGGTTTGTTTTCAAATATTTCAAATCGTCTGATGTTTGACCAAAAGACATTGCATCAAATGGTAGCGGTTCCGGTTTCTTTTCAAACTTGTAACAGTCTCCGACTGGTTCTCGTACAAAATCAACTCTACTCATAGTTTCTGTTAGCAAAGATTTGTTTCCGAGTGGCCATTGGTATTCCGGAACTGGGCCCTTCCTTGCTGTGGTCATTGATAATTCTACAAAATACAATTAAATGCATACAAAGCATTTTAAAAATCTAGACAACGCAAACAGAAAGTTAACAAAAGGTGAAGCTTACTTAACATTTACTTGAATGCAAATTAATATACTATAAATTAAGATTCCCGGTAAATAATTCCTCTTAATGTCAATATTAGCCAGCGCTTTGTTTTTCAAATAATTTTTTGAATTCTTATTTTTTAAACTTAAATGTTAGAGATGAAAATTTTTTTTTAAATCACCAAGTAAGATTAATAGAACTTTCTTCATTGCATATGTCTTTTGCAAAATCGGAAGAACTGTTTTTCCTAATAAGACTGAGAAATAAATCGGAATTCGATTTCTTCAGCCACTTCAATCTGGTATACGGAATCTGGAGGCAAAGCTGATTAAATTGATACTTTTTTGCTCACCTGGTTCAAGACTTCATAAGCCATGGAAAATTGGACACCAGAAATGACATTAGATTTACCCTTTTGAATTAGGATATCAATAAAAGATGTTGGACATATGTCACAGAGACAGCAACTAAACAATACAATAAATAAGTTTAGACTTCTAGGTATACAGTTACTTTGTCTCATTCAACCAGTGAATGAACACTTGTAACGTTTACTTTGGATCACTTTTGACATTGAGAAAGTTGACATGATCAAACATTTCATCAGATCTTTAAAAAATGATACAGAATAACAATATGTTTCTATATCCGGAACCATTTCCGAAACACTTGACTAGTATACGGCTCTCTTTCTTCGTTAGGATTCTGTGTGATTTCTTCATAAATAAGTTTTTTTTCAATCCGATTAAAATCAGATCTTTCACTTTGCTCCGCTAGATTTTTTTGCAGATAACTTTTTACACGAGCGACAAACAATTTAAACGGAGCAAATTTAGTGAAAGATCTGATTGGTATGAATGGTAAATATGTCAGAAATGAATTGGGATAAAACAAAAAGGGCACACTTCCGAACGGGATTAGCGTAACAAGAAAAGTATATCCTTGTGAAATACCAAAATAAACTTGTGACGGTATCGAAAAGATGAAGCACAACCATTAAACTATTAATATAAACTATTGATAACGGTCTGAGTTATTGGGCAGATGATAACAATATTCGGCATAATCTTTTACAAATTATGTTATCCAACGGGCTAATAAGGTTCTATTGTATCTTTATCATCATAATTATGTCTTTGGAAATTTACACTGACCTTTATACATGCAGAAGCCCATTTAAGGACTCTCAGGAAGATTAGTTTTATAGCTAATTGGATTATCCTCTTGAAATAAAGATTATTGTAATTCTTAATCACGAATTAATTTTACAAATCGTAACCACGAATTTATTCAGAATTGTCTTTTATGAACCCAATCACTTATAAAACATGCACATCAACGTACCAAAAAAAAAAAAAAAAACACTTGCAAAATAATGCCTCAAAACAATCAATGGAACGGTTCTTACATGGTCTATTTTCAGCTAAGATGGTTTGAATGCCCAACCAAGATGACTGATGTTGAATAAGACCCATTTAAAAGGTAATTGAGATTATATGAATCAGCTTTTGATGGATTAGTTTTTGCATTGTATTTGTTGTGTTCTTCGACTAACTAACAGAATATTTTCTTTCTTATTACCCCCCCCCCCCCAATTCCCCTTAAAAAAAACAAAAAAACTATATATTAGAACTAAACTGTACCAGCAGTTTAGCAGACGAGGTGAGCGATAACATACAAGATCCTCGGATCCTTTGTTTTAAGACAAAAAAATACACGATTTCTCTAATTCGTAATAACCAAATTAGTTATTATGAAGCCGTGATAACGAATTATAATTCAATTATAATTCGTTGTGATTTATTATACAATTGATGAAAACGATTTTAATCCATTATCACGATTATTTAATTCGTGATCCGCCTATTATTTTTCAGATGTTCTATATGGGGTGCCATACCTGCATCTTTATTGTAGTAAATCACAGAGACTGTGTTTGTATAACCGGAGGAACAACATGAGACAAAGTATTCTCTCCTCAATTATAGTAGTGAGGATCTCGTTTAAAACTCACTACATTCAGACTGTAGATCGAAAGTATGAGATGTCATATTCGCTCAATTTTGACATTGATTCAAATGAGATCATGTGATCATTAGTAGACTGGCAGCAAAGAGATCGGAATTTTAACTCTATTGATTATTTTGACAAATAAATATGATCAAACGATGACAAGTGCTCTTCAGTCTTAGACAAATATTTTAAGAATTTATTATAAAGTCATATATTGACAATTGCATAAAGGAAAAATACTCGTGAATGAAGAAGTTGGATAAGATGTCATTAATTTCTGCGGAGTATCTCCGACATATAATGAATTAAAAAACTGCCTAGAAATTATTTAGGAAACATAAAAAAATCTTTTTCTGTCCTCACTCATTTGAAATGAACATCTTTCTGACGTTACATATGAAATGAATACTTAGCGTATCAAGTCACTAATTATACAGAAATTTACTAAAGGAGAAAGGTACGATTTGTGGACTAATTACTCTTTAATGAATTGTATTTTGAATGTTCTCGTATTTGCAAAATAAAATATTGAATCAATGCATGTCTATAAAACATAACTATTAAAATTTTAAACATTTGCTCATGATGGGTAATTCAACAATAAAAAGATACGGAAACATCAGTAGATAGATATAAGAAGATGTGGTATGAGTGCCAATGAGACAACTCTCCATCCAAGTCAAAATTTATAAAAGTAAACCATTATAGATCACAGTACGGTCTTCAACACGGAGCCTTGGCTCACACCGAACAGTAAGCTATAAAGGGCCCCAAAAGTTACTAGTGTAAAAACCATTCAAACGGGAAAACCAACGGTCTAATCTATATAAAAAACGAGAAACGAGAAACACTTATGAACCACATCTACAAACGACAACTACTGAACATCAGATTCCTGACTTAGGACAGGTGCAAACAAATGCAGCGGGTTTAAACGTTTTAATGGTACCAAACCTTCACCCTTTCTCTGAAACAATATTGTAACATCACAACATAGAAAGACACACTATAAAATATCAACTGAAATAGCTTAACTCAATCAAAGGACATATTAACACCATTGAACATACACTGAACAAATAAATTTGACCTATGATACAATGTAAATACAAAATAAATAAACTAAGGGAAGAATAATAAAAGTAACATGTTATATCGGTATGAAATGTAAAACAATTAAAGAAAAACAATATGCTCGAACAAAAATATCAGCCATTTGCAATAACTTTAAACACACGTAAATGAATTTTCAAAAAATCTTCTATTTGACTCACAAATCCTATTGAATGACATAAAGCATAATCTTCACTCAAAACGATATTCACATTGAAAGTTTAACCATTAATTTCGTTATAAATATGCATTTCATGAAAATTCAGGTGAACTTTTTAAAGTAGCATTGTTCTTAAATATACTTTAAGAACATATAAAAAAAACAAGTTAATCGAAGTTGATGAAGCGGCACATGCAAAAGCTGATTACATGATATATTCTTTACAGCTGCAAATAAATTGCTCTTCGTTAAACGTTGATGATCTAGCAATAACAGAAATAAAACTTATTTCAATAAGGATCTGCGTAAATCATTAATTCTTTTGGAAAAAAGCTTTTTTTAGGTAAATTATCAAGCAGCTGATCACAAAGTGTGTGGTGCTTTATATTCGTAAATCTTATTGTCCGAAAAATTCATTTAAACACAGGAGGTGTTAGCTGTCACCAGTTCCTTTGGAAAGTTTTCAGTTGAATGTGCTCAACAATAGCAAAAAAAAATGCAAAGGGTATGCAGAAAACTCGTATTATTCTTGTGCGTATATTTTGCTATTGTTTTAATCTATCATAACGTAATTATTCATATTCATATAAACAGAGACATATAATACAGTATTATATGTCTCTGATATAAATGACTAGTAAAAGAGTGATATGAATCAAGGATTTATATATATTGTAAGATTTTACTATTTAAATCCTTGTACGAATATGATATATGATATATTTGTAAATATTTTATCTTAAATACAGAAATTTGCTGTCGAAATATGGTTCAATTTGCAGGCCTGAAATATTTTTTTTTTTTTGGTTGACATTTTAAACCAAGTGCAATTGGAAAGTTTATCGTATACAATTTTTTGATATGAACTGGATACTATTCCCAGATATAAAGTACAAAGTCAAACGTATAATTGTCCTTCAAATCTCTGTTTTGACAGTCAAATCAATTATTGTCTGTTCATAACATTAAAGAGCTGAACAATCCAAGTAAATACCTTTATCTAGCTGATAAAATTCGTTATTCATGATATAATGCTCATATTTCTTTATATATTAATATAAATATAATTTGTTGATGATTCAATGATTCAAACTGTTTGTAATTGTAAAACTCGTAATAAATCAATGATGCTATCATATTTGTATATGTAAATTCTATAAGCTGTATTTCTTTCGAATAAAATATTATTATAAATATATCTTTGGAAAATTTTCTCCTTTCGTCCCATAATTTTCATATGAAATTAATGCGTTGGGTTCTCTTTTCCAAGACCCTGAGGTGCCCCAAAATTCAAACACCCCACTGATAGTGAATAAGCGTTTTAAACACTGAGATTTCTTATTAGCCGTTCGTTTTATCGCTTGACATACAAAAACATTAGTTGTTTCTCTGTGAATATGTGAGCTTAAATTATAAAAGGTAAGTTAAATTAACGTAGACATTATTTTAAGCTTTGAATCTATTTCAATGTTTGAAATCTGATTAAATTAGATTTCATTCGGCCTTGCTTACTCAGTTGCTGTTTTCTGTTTGTGTGAAAGAAACATACAAATAATTCAAAGAAAATGTGTGTTTTTAGGGTATATACATGATATAGAAACACATATTTGGATTGTGTTCAAGATTGATCATTGAACATGTTAATAGATAAGTTTGGAAATTAACATTCTATTATGAACATGATAAAATAAATTTCTCTTTACCTAAAAATTAAAATGCTAAATGAGTGAAAATTATTTGTCACACAGGGTTACCTTATCATATCTATACTACATATTATACCCTCAGCAGGACAACTCTGGTAATTTCATTCATCGGATAAGTTCATTCATTTTGTTGACATGACATTAAACATGTTGATAGAACAGACTTACTGGACGAAAGGAATTACCAACCAGCATTGTCTATGTTTTATATGTTTATCAGCATCTGTTCTAAAATCCCATCAGAGTTTATATTATTTGTATACAACATATATTAGATACACCTATGTGGACGTTAGATACACCTATGTGGACGTTTAATTGGATGACAGTTGTATCTAATTTACCATATTTACACCAAGTAAATTCAAATCATATAACAGTCTTTGCACTCAACCACAGGCCTACCAGCCCAGGCTTGTAAAATTTCTGTTGGGCCTGTAAAAATCATCTCCACAGGCCAATATAATCTAACCAAAATTTTCTTGAACTTCAGCTTGGGGCCTTTAGATTCAAAAGTCTATTGTGAAGACTGATATAACCAATTCTAAGTTCTTTGACTACAGTTATTCTGTGTCAGAAACCTTTTATGTGTCAAATATTTAATTACAATCCAAATTCAGACCTGTATCAAGCGCCAATATTGCGTCCATTTTTGCCCCAACTGTTCAGGGTTGGACCTCTGCAGTTGTATCCAGCTGCGCTCAGCAAAGCAATTAATTTACAATGTATCCACAATTTTACTTAAAAATTGAAATGTTGTTGCTTAGTAACACATATATTGATGTTTGATCAACATAATATCATAAATAATGGTGAAAGGTTCAACAGTTTTCTTTTTGATATTTACATTGTATACCAATTTTTACTGATTATTCAAGTGTGTAAATAAAATCTTTCAATGCCAAAAATAAAATTTAAATTGTTTGATGTTGCCTACTTACCAGTACCCACCTGAAAAGCAGCCTACACGAAAAATTTTATGACACAAATCATTTTAATTTTTTTTTATAGATGTTTTCCTGCTTGATTGTCGTATTCTTGTGTAAAACATGGTAGCTTATGTTGTTGGCAAAAAAAAAAAAAATCCCTACCTACCTACTTGTACATTGTACCCAACCATGCCAACCCTTTAAGGCATTGGTAGACAACATCAAACAAATAATTTGTTACTGGTGGCCCAAAAATCTGTGCTATTGACAATTTAATGTTCCTTTTAAATGGATGCATTTGTCAACTTTCCCACTTTCCTAAGTATTCCTTTTTATATGTTTTATACTGCAACTGTGCTATTTGCAGAGTTGAACATTGACTGCAGATGGTTACTGAAACAATAAACTATTTTCATATTACCGACTTTTGACTACGGATTATATAATTTGTCGACTGGTTACCTTGGACATCATTGTACCAAGTCAGGTAAGAGCAAGCTAAAGAAGTAAAACCAAGCTTTCAATCGGTACAATTTTGGGGGGGAAATTACCTGGTTAATATTTTTTTTCACTACAATTACTCGGAAAACAGTAAACTTTCCCCTCAAATTACACTGATTATATGTTTGATTTTACTTATTTTGGCTGCTCTTACTTGACCGAGTACCATGATGTCCAAGCTTAAGGTAACCAGTAGACAAATTATATAATCCGGAGTCAAAAGTCGGTAATATGAAAATAGTCTATTGTAAAATATAAAATAAGGAGATGTGCATGGTGTAAATGAATACAGCTACAGGTATCTCATAAGCCAAAATTGAAGTCTGTTTTGATATATTGTTCTGTTGTTGTATGCCTTCCTAGGACCATACATGTATATTAAATATGGAAGAGGTGAGCTTGAACACATATGTTAATTTACCCTGTAACAAACTATTAAAGCCTGGAATCAGAAGTCCATTAGTTTTATGGCTACATTGTATTTGTTGACATTTAGATTCTGGTCCAAAACTACATTACATGGAAGTTATATTTATACATTTATATATCAGGGTTCCTGTATGGCACATCCAGACAGAAAATCATGTGTCTACAACACATGTATGCCTCTTAACAAGAACATGAAGAACCCTGTATATTTAATTAAAAAAAATTTTCTTTTACAGAATACACCAACAACCATGCGTTTGTATATTTTTGGACTTCTAGTGTTGTGGTGTTCTTTGGATGTATCTGAAGGATGTAATGAAGCATTGTGTGTCAGTATCGTCAGTAAATGTATGTTGATCAAATCATGTGATTGTGACATGACAGACATAAGAAACTGTTCCTGTTGTAAGGACTGTAATATGTGCTTGTCAACATTGTACACAGAGTGCTGCTCATGTGTTGGTAAGTTTAACTTTTATATAAACATTGTACATAAAGTTTTTTGTAACTTCTTCATAGTTTGTTGGTAATTTAATTCTAAGTTTGTTAATATTGTACACAGTGTGCATGGTGTGTTGCTCATGTGTTGATTTGTTCATTTTGTCTACATAATAAAGAGTGTGGGTCATGTGTTGGGAATTCCTACATGTGTTTGAATGCCCTTTGAAAGAAATGACAACATGAATGAGGATACAAAACATTTGAAGGAAAAATTCAGAATGACATCTACCATGTATTGTATATTAATGATATTTCTCAGGAATCTTTTAAAACAGTGAACATAACTTACATACTCATACACAATGTACTGTGCTAATTGGGTATTTAAAATTGTCTTTGATTTCTAGACTACATGTAGTCCAACATAACCATTATGGTAAAAGACTCATACATATGTAGTTTGATAAGGAATGGAAAAAAAAGTTTCCAAATAGTGTGCTGTGAAAAGGTTGAAATTTTGTGGAAATTATATACATGATATAATTTGTATAGAATTTTTGCACATGTTATCAGTATTTTGCTATTAAACCAAGTAATTTCTTAAAACATTTTGATAAAACAAGCACATAGTCTTTTATTTCACTCTTTACTGTCACATTTTTCATGTACATATATATACATGTACATGCTACACTGATACAAAGATTTTATACAAGTACATGTAAGGACATTATTATATAATATAAGATAATTTAGGGCACCAAAAATCTTGTACTTTAGGCAAAATAACTTAAATAAAATCTTACTCATCCAAAGCTTTATGGCAAAAAAGATAATGTAGTGATGAAGCATAAATATTTTTGTAAATCTGTGAGTAAAATATTAAGCTGGTTATATATTGAAGACAAACTTGCATCACAAGATGAAAGAATACTGATAAATTAAACGAAAGGTATGTACAAATTATAATTTGTTCACAACATATATATGTATATCTATGCATATTCACCATGCAAAAAAAAAAATACTACTTCAGGAATGTGTCCAGCACCTGACCCAGAAGAAGGTCTACACTTAACTAGTACTATAGAAGAATTGAAAGCTCCAATACCAGAGCTGTTTGATGTATTGACAGAGGAGAAAGACAAGGAAATGAGATGGACGACATATACATATCCTGCACATTACGATGCACTTTATTTTAAACCTGGTCATGGAATGTTAGATGTCAATTTTGGTAAGATCTAACTTACAGAATTTTGAAGATTATAAGTTTGTTGTAACTAAAGGGGAGGGTAGGAGGGGTCCCATCCCAAATTCCAGAGAAAATAAAAGCCATATCCAGAATTCTTGTGAAAATAAGGTGTCTGTTCCCGTATGATAATATAATTAGTTCCCAAATTCCTGATGATTTGACTGGCTATTCCAACATCCCTGTGAACATGGTGAATGAAATGGTTCAATCCCAAATTTCCCAGTAATACATGTACACTGGCAAAATTTTTATGAAACATACTTGAAGGTACAGTTTTAAAAAAAAGTGGTAAGCTTTTTCACTTAAAGCAGGATCATGAAAGTCTCAGTTTGTATAATTTCTCATACAATAGAGGTACAGCCCAAACTGTAAAAGCTGTGCTGGATTGCCAATGCATGTGTAATATCCCAAACATTAACCACACCTTATTTAATAGTACTAATTGACAGTATTTAACAAACACACATTGTACTTTGGTACATAAATATCTTTTGTTCTATACCCTGGTACGATTTTATCAGATTTTGTGATAAGAATGGTCTTTTATATAGTCACTTTTGAATTTACTGCTTTAACAACTTTTGTGGAACCTAAAGCCAGGTGGAGGTCAAAAAAGTCAAATAAGATCAGATAAGTTAACACAGGTGTCAGTGATATGTCACTCAGGTAAGAGACATAATTCACTACTTTAAAGCAATTAGAGTTTGTAGTATTGTACTATGTTATGAATGAAATATTTGTATTTTTATTGAGGTGTCAATAGGGGAATTTTATTGTAAACTTTTTGTTATCTTCAGCACAAATAAGAATTTAAAAAGAAAGATTAGTATATATGTACCATACCACATCTTCTGTTTTGATACGTAAAGTAATATTGAAAGATTTTGCATATGCATATATTATATAAAAATAAGGAGATGAGGTATGATTGCCAATAAGAAAACTATTCACCAAAGTTCAAATAAAGTAGATGTAAGCAATTACAGGCAACCATACGGCCTTCAACAATGAGAAAAACCCATACCTTACAGTCGGCTATAAAAGGCCCTGACATGAAAAATATGAAACAATTCATATGTACATCATCATGATCATGTACATGAAAGTACCAAACTTCAATTAAAATGTTCTTTTTTGACTGCAGAGATTTCTGTGCATCTGGGGTAGAAATCAATTACCAGTAATAATTCTACTGGTAATTCTAAATAATTTTGTTTTTGATATTTATTGTTCTGAACTACATTTTAGTATATATTCAGTTATATAAAAACAAATTTGAGAGTTTGAATAAATATGGTGGGCTTACATTTGGCAGCTAATGGCTCTTTATGTACAGTATAATCGTGATAACTGTTAATACCTGCATGTACCAGTTCTTTAAAGACCCATCAAGAGCATTTGATATTTTACATTATAATTTAATGTATTATTCAAACTGTCAAATTTATTTTGATTTATATATACTAAAATATAATTCAGAACTTAAGTTCCATAGAAAACAATACAAAATGTCTTGGATCGTTATAAAGTATCAAATTTTATTCCTGACTGGATGCCATCTATTTAACTATGGATATGATCTAGGAAAACTGTTTTTGGGCATATGACCCCTTTATAATTATAAATATAAATTGATTTGTAACCATAATTACAAATAGACAAGTAAGCATGTGCAACAGTTTAAAGGTCAAATTTCTTATGTCTGTTTGATGTCATTTTATAGATAAAATCATGTAAATGAAATGTAAATCAATTATTTATAACAGGTCTGTAAAAAATATTTATTTGTTGGTCGAATCAATAAACAAAATCAGTCTTCCTGTTACTGCCTTCCTTAGTTTCACTTTACCAGCTGACATTAGAACACATTCACAGCCCTTCACAAAAAAAGGTTAAATCAAACGTCGCATGAATACAGATTCAAATGAGGGTGAATTATTGACTTGCAAGCCATTAATACATCGGCAATGTTTTTGAGCTTATTTTGGCGAAAGTTAACCAAACTGACTGCTTAAAAACAATTATTATTTGACTGTTCCAATTTTTTTGTCTATTCATAGCTAATGTCCCTTGAAAATAAGAACAGGAAAATGACAAAATACTTAGTAGAATACTAAGCTGAAAATAAATGTTTATATATCATGTATATTGGATCTGTCACTTTTTAGGAAGGTATAATGTATAATTTATACAAAAAGATATAATAACCATAAATGTTAGATATGTGGTTTAATGGGGAACCAGGAAAAGTGATGTACGAGAATATAATTAATAAATAAATATGTTATAAAACTAAAAAATAATGATGGGAATGTCAAATGTTCATTTAAAATAGCAATAAAAGTAACATGTTCATTAGTTAATGTGGCATACATTTAGAATAACAATAAAAGGTACATGTTCATTGGTTAATATGACATATATTTCATGTTGAGACATTTGTTAAAGTCAGTCAGGGGTACTACTTGTACAAGTAATCTTTATTTATAAGTAAAAAAAATATACTTATATAAGTTAATTATAATGTTTGAATAATCTCCCCTTAATTTTCTTAAAAATTCACTTGTATAAGTAAATTTTTTTTACAATCCCATAAAAATTCTTAAGTTTTGAGATGTAAAAACTTGCCTTTAATGATTTTTCCAAGGTTAGCTCATAATTAAGTCTCCCAAACGAAGTTTGGGAAGACTTATTGTTTTTGCTCAGTTCTTATTATTATTATTATTCTTCTTCCTCTTCCTCTTCCGCCACTTTTAAATTTGAACTTGTCCGCACCCGTTCTCCAAAACCGCTTGTCAGATTAACTTAGGGTTTCACAATATGTTAGACTAACATGTCTAGTGGTGCAATCAGGGTTTTGTTTGTGCAATAGGGTTTATAAAGGGGTACTTTGAGGGGCAAAAAGAAAGGAGGGTTTTACTATAGAACCCTATGGGAACTTATTTTTTTAAATTTTCAAATGATTATAAATTGAAAACCGTTTGTGATAGACACAATCTTTTTAATTGAAAATGTTCTAAATGATAAAGCACATTAAATGAAATACAGGGTTAGTCCCCAGGGGTCACCCCCACCCCCTGCCATTTAAGAAAGTTCTAATACCTTGTAAGTGGTCAAGATCCCCACCCCTAAACCATATATATTCTGGTTTGTCATGCTAAGAAGGTTTGAATGATATACAGGGTTAGTCCCCAGGGGTCATCCCGACCCCCTGCCATTTGAAAAAGTTCTAATATCTTGTAAATGGTTGAGATCCCCACCCCTAAACCATATATATTCTTGTTTGTCATTATAAAGCAAATCAAATGAAATACAGGGTCAGTCCCCAGGGGTCACCCCTACCCCCTGCCATTTAAGAAAGTTCTAATATCTTGTAAGTGGTCAAGATCCCCACCCCTAAACCATATATATTCTGGTTTGTCATGCTAAGATGGTTTGAATGATAAACAGGGTTAGTCCCCAGGGGTCATCCCCCACCCCCTGCCATTTGAGAAAGTTCTAATATCTTGTAAATGGTCGAGATCCCCACCCCTAAACCATATATATTCCTGTTCGTCATGTCTCGAACATTTGAATGACGTATAGGATCAGTCCCCAGGGGTTCCCCCCACCCCCTATGTTCTAATATCTTGTAAGTGGTCAAGATCCCCACCCCTAAACCATATATATTCTGGTTTGTCATGCAAAGATGGTTTGAATGATATACAGGGTTAGTCCCCAGGGGTCATCCCCCACCCCCTGCCATTTGAGAAAGTTCTAGTATCTTGTAAATGGTCGAGATCCCCACCCCTAAACCATATATATTCCTGTTCGTCATGTCTTGAACATTTGAATGACGTATAGGATCGGTCCCCAGGGGTTCCCCCCACCCCCTGTGTTCTAATATCTTGTAAATGGTCGAGATCCCCACCCCTAAACCATATATATTCCTGTTCATCATGTCTCGAACATTTGAATGACTTATAGGGTCAGTCCCCAAGGGTTCTTGTAAGTGGCAAGATGATTTGAATGATATACAGGGTTAGTCCCCAGGCATCACTAATGCATATAACTTTACCAAACCAATTTTCACTGGACTTTGCCCAATGTCAGACGACCCTGGGAATTACGAATTATGGGAGCTTCGTTTGGGAGACTTCGTAACAGCATCCTGTTACAATCATTTCTTGTTTTTTATTAGAGTTCAATGTTTCATCTCATTAATTCAACAAAGAAACTGATTGCGCAAAGGCAAAGATCTTAAGTATTTGGCAAGGCCTTCAAAAATTGCTATTATGGGGCTTGTAAATGAGCAGTGTTCTGAAGATAACAGACAAATGAGATTTTCATTGTCCATGAAATTACACTTAAATGATTAGTTAAGACATCTGCAAAGGACAGACAATTTAAAATTCTATTAGAGCAAAGAAGTCATAAGAATTCAAGAAAAGATGATAGGATGGCTTTTTCACTTATACAAGTAAAAAAGTCTGAATGTCTAAGGGACATAACTAAGCCAATTTTTTTTACCTATACAAGTAAATAAAATACACTTGTACATGTTGTATAAGTATCCTACAAATTTACTTATATAAGTATATTAATATTACCTTTTCAAGTAAATAAAAATTACTTGTACAAGTAGTACCCCTGACTGAAAGTACAATAAATGAGAAATAATTTTTTTGTGTACGAATATTATACAAATTTCAAACTTTATTCTTTATCTAAAAGAAAAAAACAACACAATAGGTTACCCATACAGGTGTCACTGTGATTCATATATACAATGTTTTATGCAAGAAGTGAATCTGATAAGTACATATATGTTGTTACAAAACATCTGTCAGGACTAAAAATACAGTAAAACTTCTCCAATACACCAGGTACCATCCACAAAGTCTGTTCTTGTTAGCAGCGTTTTTTCATTAATAATTCTTGGTTCCTCAATATGATATTGACTTGGCTGGGACTAAAATGTTTGTCCTTAAAATCATGTTGTT